GACATGTAGCTACTCTATTTCAATTAACACATAATAGATCAAACATTATAAAAATATTGTAAAAAGGAAATCCTAAAACTCTAGTGTTTTTCTAATATCAGTACTAATCTATAATAACTATAAATTTCTTCAATATGAACTCAAATATGGCTGAGGAATGTTCTTTACACATCAACATGACAATATGTGACTCGTTGTCTGARYGTTCATGGGTTGACTGAGTTATTTTAGTGCTTTAGAGTTAGCTTTTGCTAAAGCTTTTTGTGTGTTAGTGCTTTAGAATTAGAGGACCTAAATATTGAGTTAGTGTTTTAGAGCTAGTGAAACTCATTTTTAGATTAGTGCTGCCCACCACTGATTGGATGGATATATTTATTAGTGCAAAATAAACTATTATGACTTTTTAAATGGCACCCGATTTTATTTTTTAAAGACTGTTTAATTTGTTCATGTTTTATTTTTAAATCCAACTTGTTGAAACTCATAATGTGACTTTTTTTTTCAGCTGCTTTCAGTTCAGGCATTAAACTCGTGCTCTTAGATGAGATTTCCAGTCAGAGTTGACATTTACTGCTCTGCTAATAAAACTTACAGCTATAAATATCTATGATTTAAAAACTCTGTGGTAAAACATCTTAAAGTTTATGGGGTATCGATGTGACGGTTGTTGCGTTTGGATGCCATTTCTCTTATGTTCCGTCCAACTAATTCCAAGAATGCTTGAACTTTTGCAACCTTGCAGACAAATGGTTTGTGTGGATCTCACATGGCCCCAACATTCAGATGGATTTTTGTCTAAACTCTTTCCGTATGGTTTATATTTCCCGTAGCGCTCATCTGTACTGTATTAACAGCAGCAAAAAAGGCTCCCAAAAGCAAAGCCTGAATGCCGAGACGGTGATGTTTTTCTGCCAAATTAACAGAGTCGCTGATAAATCACTGACGGGAAGTTCCAACCTTCTGTAAACTTATTTCATAAGAGCTTTAACGATCAGTGGTGGTTATCTGTAAAGTAGCTGCAGGGATGTTTGTGTTTACTGCTGACGACATACGTGCGTCTTTCTGTGTGCGCCTCAGGCTGCGTGTGTTCCTGTGATGCTGAGTAACGGCTGGGAGCTGCCTTTCTCTGAGATCATCGACTGGAACACGGCGGCGGTAATCGGCGACGAGAGGCTCCTGCTGCAGGTAACGACAAATGAACAAAATGCTCGTATAGATTTGGTTAAAATGACGCGAGCTTCATTGAGAGAAAAGCAACTTTATGCTCCTTAAAGTGCCTGACATCAAATGTTTGTTATAAATATGAATGCTTTTGTTGGAAAAGAATACATTGGTAATATATTGCAAAAACAACGATCACGCCACTGAGATGAACAGTTGTTGAGATATTTGCGTGTGAAGTGACAGGAAGTGATGTCAAAGGGGAATGTGTGAACGTGAACAGAGCGTTGCTACAATAACTAACACTGATTGAAAGGAAAAATATTTTTAAGATTATTATGAGTCACTATCAGAGAGATAGAGTTCAAATAATAATGTTTCAAAGGATTCTCCGTTGATGTCACTTCCTGTTTCATTTCGGCTGAGTTAAATTCAAAAGAAAATATGCCAATTATGCAACAAAATGGGTTAAATCAAGTGTATTATGTTAAGTTTCTTAAATATAGATAAATATAGAATATAATATGTTTTCTTTTATGTTTTGTTTTGACATTAAAGCACACGCACGTCACAGGAACTTTAAATCCTAATATTGTTTGACGCTGGGAGCACTAAATGTGCTGAAATCATCCTGGATTAGAGACTCCAACATCCATGAAATCAAGTTACTTTTGTGCCTTTAAGTGTATCATTTTATCAAATGTATTTTTTTATGAAAAGCTTCATATAAAATACATTTAAGTCTCTTGGGAAGAATTTGATAAAACTGATGTATCAGAGTGGGAAAGTGTTCTCTTTTGAAACTTTTATTCTCTGATTTGACTATAAAGTCATTTGTTTTTTATGTTCAAATGTCTGCTGCAGCTTTTATTTTTCTCTTCTCAAGYCTTTTTGTGGTGTTCTTTTAAAATAGGAGCACATTTCTTTTGTAAATGCTTCATAGCGCTATTTGTTCTTCTCTTTGTAAGCCAAACTATAAAGTTGTGAAGCTAGAATGTTTTCGACCCTCGAGCTAAGGATTTTCCCCGGAATATTTGAAACCAGGCTGTTGCCGGTTTGCGTACACTTTGGACCCGACTGGGGTCAGATTTGAAAGGGGAGCCCGACGTTTCGGTAAACATCCTCATTAGCTTTCTTGCCGAGACTTGGACGAGAAGTTCAACACGGCTGCTGCTTCAAAGCTGCGGCGCAGATGTGTGAGCGGGTTTGATCCTGTCATGTCGCTCACAGCCAAACAGCAAATTAAGAGTGTCTCCCAAAGTACCAGAGGAGTTACAGAAATAAGGACTCGACACCTAAACCAAGCCGACGCCACTTAAAGCAACTCAAGAGTTTCTCTGAGGTGAACACAGCAGGAACTACATAATCCCTAAAATGTTAAAACATATTTAAAAACATTTGTGTTCTCTGACTTTATCTTTCTAAAAGATTTTAAAAAAAAATTCAGACAAACAGGTACTTTTCTTCGTTCTACATAAACGTTGTGATTTAGAGCATGGATTTATTAGAACAGGTCAGCCACTAATCCACTAAAGAATCTTAGCTCCGCTAATGCTAATCCGCTAAACGGTAAAAACTTGGTGGAAGCTAACGCTAACTGCTAAGATGATTGCCTGCCTAACGTCATTTTCTCCTTCCAGTTGAGAGCAGGTGGGGCTGATGCAAACCTGTTAGTTTTCTATTGGTGTAATTTGAAGGTGGGCGGGATCATCTGTGGCAAATCAGCCAATCCAAACCAGAGTTATAGCTGTTTGAAGTTAGTCACAAAACAAAGAGCAAATACTTTTTCTACCATATTTTATACATAGTCAAATTTTGCATTTGTTTTTGTAAATATTGTTTAATGCTATATTTATTTTTGACACTCTTTGAAGTTCAGCTGCTAAAGATGCTACATGCTAAACACAGTGCACCTGAGACAGCCAGCGCTGCTTAGAGGGGATAGTTTTTATTTAATTCTGGATAAATGGTACAAAAACAGGAAGTTTACACTTGTGAGTCTTTTTAGTAGACTTAAAATTAGCTGAACCTAATTTAGTAGAAGCTAATCGGTCCGCTAACGATTTCCAACCATTTAAAAAAAAACAGCTTTTAAAACATGAAACCACAATGATGTAGTTGTGGTGAGTATGCGCCTTTTTTTTTTTTTTTTTTGGTGCGGCAAAACAACTCTCCTGCGTCTCTACACCCCATTGAGTTGCAATCAAATTATGTGGTTAATTGTGCAAACAGGAAATCCCCTTGGAGCAAATTAAACTACAACAGGATGTCGGAACTCATATAAAAAAGTCTAATTTTGAAATAAACGTGTTTGAACGCGGTGTATTAAATGGATGTTTGAGGTGGTTCTGATTAGGATGCCTCCTGGACRCCTGTCTTTGGARGTTGTCCCACTGGGAAGAAACCCCGGGGCAGACCCAGAACCTGCTGCAGGGGYTTATATATTTATTCTCTCTGGTCTGGGATCCTTCAGGAGTTACAGGACCTGTTCCCTCTGGGACATGCGAGACGCACTTCCTTCCAGGGAATCAAATTGCGGAACAATTTAGGAAATATTTACAAAAATGCCAATACGATTCATATATTTGCTAGATTGATAAAAGCTTTTTTGTTAAAATATGAACAAAATGTAGAT